TAGTGGTGGTGGTAGTGGTGATAGTGGTGGTGGTGGTGGTGGTGGTAGTGGTGGTGGTGGTGGTGGTATGACAGAACATTTATACCACAGTTAAATGTGACCTGACAGAATTTTTGCTTATTAAACAGATCATATAATAAATTAGAATAGCAAAATGATTCCCAGACAAGCTGCTGTCAAACATCTTAATTAACAGTGACATTTTGATTGGCTAAGTGTTTCTGTTGGTCAACCAATCAGAACTGTGTTTCAATAAAAACAGCATGTGCCTTGAGAGGCTGATGTTAGAGAAACGAACCAACACTGACTTGAGTGGTTTGGAATGAACTGCTATGTATCTACATTGTAATGGTCATAGATAATGAAAAGAAAAAACAAAGTATAAATGCTTATTCCAGTTGTAATTTTAATCATATATTTTTTTCTTTTTGATCAATCACTAATTAACCATCAGTCATTTGATTAAAACTGATGACTGATTTTAATTTTACAAACAATTCCCAGCACTGTTTCTTAAAACAAATCAGGCTGATAAGTATGAATATGAAAAGATTTATGTAACACAACCAAAAAGTGTTTTTGTGTGATGATTCGATGACTAGTACGGTATGCACTTTGATCTGTCACCTTCATCAGACGGTGACAGAAGGTGACAGAGTACATACCGTACGAGTCATTGAAACATCACATATAAACACATTTTGGTTGTGTTACATGAATCTTTTCATTATTCGAAACACTGGTCTTAAATTAAAATAAGATTTGCTCTTCTGCATTTTGATATCAGATATCCAAAGAAACAAGATGTCATTATCAGTATAATTTGTTCTTAATCATGAATTTGAAACTGATATTATTAATACAAAACATGCCACCTCCCCACAGGTATCTGTTCTGCTGATCGTCCTCATGTTCCTGTTCGCTACCTTCGGTGTGCACCTACTGGGGGGTCGTTTGGCCAGGTGTAACGACCCTGCCATCCTATCTAGGGTAGGTATCAGAGCAAGGGAACAAATAATTGTAAGTTAATTAATATCTGTACTAAGGTTTAGGGTAGAGCCAGCGCTATTGTTTCTTCAGTGGTAAAAAAATCATGAAGAAATAAGGGTGATAAATGAGACTATGTTAACACTGTGGATGTGCTAAAAATTGCTTCAAATAAAGATATTGAATGTTATAACAACTTCTTGTAGATTTAAAACTTAACATTTCCGTTCTGTGTTGGGTGTGATAGGAGAACTGTACGGGAATCTTCCTGAATCAGGTGTTTGTTACCAAGATGAAAGTGAAAGTCGTCAAGAACCAGCAGCCAGGTTTCTATGTTCCGAGGACATGGTAAGATTCTACAGTTGTGAAGATATCTTCGAGTTGAAGATAATTGGAAAACTTTGCCTTATCACATAAATACAGTGATGTGTATTTAACAAAACCTTTGTATTACTTCTTGTTATATCAACCATATAGCATTGTGATGAAAAATTTAAAACAATGTACATGACATTGTGATGTCTCAAGGAAAGCACTTAACATTTACAGCAAGATGCATGTGGCAATATCAAGAATTTTGTTTTTCTTCAATATTTTATTTGATTTCATATATTTCATTCTCGGTAATATGATAAAAAGTATTTTAAACTTACCGTAATGGAATTCTTTTTTCTTTTGAACTCCAGAGAGACTTGCTAAAATGAATAACCTTTAGGCTCATTTCATGCACACATGTATCTTATATAAAATGAAAAATTGTCTCAGATCTTATGTATACAATGTATCAGTAATGCACGAAAGACTATTGTAGCTTAACTATATTCAGGGTATATCAAGGTGACAAAAGTGTCTTTAATGCAACCTGTTGGCCACTTTTTTTTCTTTTTTTTTAGAAAAATCATATTAATTGAAATTTTGACTGTTTTTAAATTATGGATAAGGTAATTTGATATGACTTTTAGGGAAAATATTGTAATAAAAAAAGGTTGGTTTTGTAAAATGAAAGTTGCAAGCAAATTTTTGACAATTTATTATTCAAATGCTTTATGTTTTACTTGATCTTGACTTCCAGGACAAATCCGTACAATTTTAACTTTGACAACATTGGAAATGCCATGTTAGCGTTGTTTGAGGTGCTGTCTTTGGAGGGTTGGCTGGAAGTCAGGGATGTGATTATAGAACGTGTTGGAACGGTGAGTCTCTTCCGTCATGTTCAATATGTGAAAATTGCGTTGACAGTTTATGATATGTTTCCAATTTTCTAGAGTGACTTGAGGAAGGATTAAAGACATTGTAATAGAACTACACAATTTGAATTCTGTTATTTCTATGTTGATCTCAACTGAAGGTAAACCTCATAGATTTTGTGTTTTTATCATAGTTTGAAATAATGACCGGGTCGATCATCCGTGACCTGTTAGGTGTGTTAATTAAAGCGCTCATCCAGAACTCGGGAGGTCCAGGATTTGAATCCTTATGATTCTGTTCATTTTCCCTCTCTTTTTATATATATTTTAATTAGATATTGCTCAGCTTGAATACTAAAAAGCACCACAATGGCATGATGCCATGTAGGACATTTTCTTTGGTTGATGGGCAATGCAAAAAAATGAATCGGTCATTCATTCAGCATCATGTAGAATGATAAGCTGTTCAGTCATGATAGTACAGTCTTGATAAAAAAAAACTTCTGTTATATACAGTAATTAATAATTTGTTTCCAGGTCCACGCCATTTACGTACATGTGTTCGTGTTTATTGGCTACATGATTGGACTGACACTGTTCGTCGGTGTGGTCATTGCTAACTACAGTGAAAACAAGGTCAGTACTGTTTTTTGTGACATTTTCGATGTTATCAATTTTGATACAGGAAATGAACTGATACAGCAGTTGAATTTTTATTAACTTCATTGACTGCCTTCACTGTTTACAAAATAACACAATCAAATCACTATAAAGTAACATGTTCACCTCATTCTAATCTGTAAACTCTTACAATTTGGGCGCGAGTCTCAATCATATTTTCTATCCACTTGTTCCTAATGTTTCCTTCTCACATTCTTGTTATCCATAACTTAATGTATTCTTACCTATGTATAGGGGACAGCTTTGCTCACTGTGGACCAGAGGAGATGGCTGGATCTCAAGGGCAGAATCAAGTTAGCTCAGCCTCTTCACATCCCCCCTAAACCAGGTAAACTAACCCAAACATGGAACACAACTGTAAAACAAATACTGTATATGGGGAATTTTTTCGCTTTAGTTTAACTTTCGCCTTCTTTTCCCACCGAAATGATGGCAAATTTATCATAACAGCGAACTTTTGTAGACAACATAATATACATAGTAATTAAATGTGAATGGTGAAATTAACACCAGACGAAAATTGATTTCGTGGGTGAAGGGCAAAAGTTTGACGGGCCAAAAATTTCCCGGTACACAGTATCCCTTTTGACCTTGGATTTAAGGAGAGAATCAGGATATTTCTTCCATAACCACAATATGTTTCCCCATTCCTGAAGCACTTGATAAGCAAACAAGGAGTTGGTCAGCATTTCATCTTACCATGGTTGGGTAACAACCAGCTGGATGTGGTGTTATTGGCATTGAACTCATTCACCCCCGAAGACACATAGTACGCGATACTCTACTAGGAGGACTGCATGTTGGCATAAGAAGAAGAGGGTGAATGAGTTAGTTAGGATATGTCACACTCTGTACGTAGGCAGAAGAAGCAGAGGGTGAATGAGTAAGTTAGGATGTCACACACTGTACGTAGGCAGAAGGAGAAGAGGGTGAATGAGTTAGTTAGGATGTCACACACTGTACGTAGGCAGAAGAAGAAGAGGGTGAATGAGTTAGTTAGGATGTCACACACTGTACGTAGGCAGAAGAAGAAGAGGGTGAATGAGTTAGTTAGGATGTCACACACTGTACGTAGGCAGAAGAAGAAGAGGGTGAATGAGTTAGTTAGGATGTCACACACTGTACGTAGGCAGAAGAAGAAGAGGGTGAATGAGTTAGTTAGGATGTCACACACTGTACGTAGGCAGAAGAAGAAGAGGGTGAATGAGTTAGTTAAGATGTCACACACTGTACGTAGGCAGACGAAGAAGAGGGTGAATGAGTTAGTTAGGATGTCACACTCTGTACGTAGGCAGAAGGAGAAGAGGGTGAATGAGTTAGTTAGGATGTCACACACTGTACGTAGGCAGAAGAAGAAGAGGGTGAATGAGTAAGTTAGGATGTCACACTCTGTACGTAGGCAGAAGGAGAAGAGGGTGAATGAGTTAGTTAGGATGTCACACACTGTACGTAGGCAGAAGAAGAAGAGGGTGAATGAGTAAGTTAGGATGTCACACTCTGTACGTAGGCAGAAGAAGAAGAGGGTGAATGAGTTAGTTAGGATGTCACACACTGTACGTAGGCAGAAGAAGAAGAGGGGGGATGAGTAAGTTAGGATGTCACACACTGTAAGTAGGCAGAAGAAGAAGAGGGGGGATGAGTAAGTTAGGATGTCACCCTCTGTACGTAGGCAGAAGGAGAAGAGGGGGAATGAGTTAGTTAGGATGTCACAGTCTGTACGTAGGCAGAAGAAGCAGAGGGTGAATGAGTAAGTTAGGATGTCACACAATTAACAAAACTTAGTACAGACTTCTTCCATTGTGACATCATGATTCTTGGCAATTATTTCCCTATTCAGAAACAGGAATCATCTACATATGGTTTTTCAGATATTATATAATCAGTATGAAAGAAAAAGGACCAAAACACGTGGTTATCATGTACTAACTCTCCTGAGTTATTTTTCAAATATTAAAAACTGGTTATACTTTGTTTATATACAATTTGAAAATTACCCCTAAAATTTCATAATAAACTATTCCAACCTTTGAATTGGAAGAGTTCAAATGAGTCTTCAGAGGTGAATGAGTTAACTCATGTATGATAACCGAACACCACTCATAACTCATTAGTAAACTTTAACATCACCAGCTGGAATTATCCTATTTTAACTGTGTTCCTTCAAAGTAAGTTTTTTCAATGGTGACCATTACATTTTTCTACTCATGTAACTTTTGTAATGTTTCCGTATTTTCGTTCCAGATGCCACTGGCCTCCGAGCCAAGATGTATGACATCACACAAGACACCATGTTCAAACGTGCCACAGTCCTTCTTGTTCTCCTCAACTGCAGCCTCCTAGCAGTACCAGTATGTGTTGTGTACACAAAGTTACTCCAGCAGGAAACTATTTTAAAATCAATAAATGAAAATCTATCGCAAATTTCAAACAAGAAATAACAAAAATAGATAGGAACCGTCGCTCTACATCCAAGCTTTTGGGCTTTTAGCCGTTGTTCAGGGATGGAATGGTCTTCGATCCCTGATGAAGGGCTGTTTATACTGTAAAATCTGTGAATCTCGTATAATTCTATATAGTGATTTCAATGATCCTTACAGTACCATATTTCTGATACAATGTAATAACTAAGTCTAAAAATCATACAGTTTTCGTTCGAACATTTGTCAAATTATTTCTGAAAACAAGAAAACATCTAGTAAAATGTAGGCTTTGGTATTCTCTATCCTTCAATTTTCTATTAAAAATGTTACAAAACATCAAAAACAAAATCCTGCTAATGCCTTGCAAGCTCATATATGCTCTGTGTTTTTTGTCTTTCAGTGGAAGGAATCAAACATGCCCACGACCTATGCCCTGGCTACAGTATGTGCTATTTTTACCATGATGTTTTTCTGTGAGGTAAGTTATGATAACATTCGTCTTTATAAAATTACTTCTTGTTGTGGATATGCAGGAAATCGTTTTGTATTTTTATTTATTTGGTTTAACATGAAAGGTTTAATCCTTGTTGTATTATGTATGCATATTTAACATGTGTATTACATGGTAAGTTAACAATGTGATAAATATAAATTGCCATCTATTATATAATTTTCAAGATTTCAAATCTACTTCCTGTATAGTTATGGCAGAGTAAAGAAGATAGTAAATTGGAAGTCAAGAAGTGTCTGTGAAGACTTGATGATATGGTCAGGGAAAAGTTGTGGTTTAGCAATCACACTTTGTAAAGGATCCAGATTTGTATTATCAATCTACTTTGAAAATAAATGGAAATTCATTGAAGATTTTCAAGTGAACCTAGTACCTCTGTGTTGACATGTTTTGTCTCCTTTTTATCGGCCCAAAAGACCTCTTTTGTGTTGGTGGGCCATTAAGAATACAATAATGATAGTACTTCTTTCTGTAGGTGGTGATGAAGATGATAGCTCTGTCGCCGCGCGGCTACTGGACAAGTCGTAGAAACAGATTTGATATGTTTGTCACCTTTCTAGGACTCATCTGGATCATCCTCAATTTTACAATAGGGGTAAGTAATAAAAAATATATGATGTGAGATTCCTTTAAATTGGACACACATTCATCTAAACTAGGCCAACTTGATTTAATATCATTCATGAATTAATTTTCAGAATGACCAGACCCATTCCTTCGGCTTTATTGTGATTGTTCTGCGGTTCTTCACCATTACAGGAAAACATGTAAGTGCTTGTTTTTTTTGTGTTGTTTTTTCTTTCTATTTTACCAGTATATAATAATATTCCTAGAAAATGATTTTCAAAAGAACACTTTTTTATATACAGTCAAACTTTGATGTTTCAAACATTGCAGGACCATCAGGATAAATTTGAAATATCAGGACTTCTTATGTGACAAAACACAGGTTAATAACTTTTTGTATAAAAGTATGGTTAACATTTAGAGACTGAGAAGGCCAGTATTGGCATTGAGTTTATTTATCAATTTTCAGCTAGCTCATGTCCAGATTTGCATTTCATATATACTGTGAAAATCAGAAATGTTTATGGGGTCCAAATTTCATGTTTTCCCCAAAACACAACATTTCATGATTTGTGTATCCGGAGGACACAGTTATACAGAGAAAAAGTTCGTGTGAAAACTGTAAATACATCATTGACCTAATTCGTGGATGAAGAGTACCCAAGAAATCAACGAAATTTAAAACCCCACGAAATATAGTGATTGTACAGTAATCTGTTTAACAAGGGGATGGACTTAATACTGAACACAGGTGGATCATAGATAATTTATAGAGGAAAACATGGACCACAAAATAAGATAACCATCTATTGGTTTGTTTCAGGCAACACTCAAGATGCTGATGCAGACTGTGGTCATGTCCGTGTTTAAGAGTTTCTTCATCATCATGGGAATGTTCATCCTTATGATGTTCTATGCCTACGCTGGTGTGATCCTATTTGGCACGGTCAAACATGGCTTCGACCTAGGAAGGTACGTGGAAAACAAGAGTCTTTAACTCTACTATTTCTCATGACAGAGAATACATGATAATATTCGCATAAAATTTTGGAGTCCTTCGTCAGTTTTGATGCTACGTCAGTCAACACTCCTGCTCCTGATTTAACAAGGTGTCTCTCAAATGGTGTTTTGATAAGTATTACCGTATTTGACTGCAAATAAGCCCTCTCCCAAGTAAGGCAAATGTGATGGGAATGGAGTGAGTGCCTGCAGTTAAGTCCCCTCTCAACTTTTGGTCAGTCATTTGCAGTTAAATACGGTATACTATTGAAACAATAGTGAAGACAGAAATTAGTAGATTAAGCTTTTGTTACAACACAGATCTAAAGCTGACAAAATTGATGTCTTAACTCATTCACCCCTGACATTTCCTAATGAACTATTCCAACCATTGAATTGGAAGTGTTCAAAGGTGTCTTCAGGGGTGAATGAGATAATGTGTCCTTGTTGATAGTTATGATGACCACTATGTCACTTTATTTTACAGACATGCCACATTTGGAACCTCCTCCAACGCTATAGCTCTGCTGTTCAGGATTGTCACCGGGGAAGACTGGAATAAAATTATGCATGACTGCATGGTAGGTTATTGTTTTATTCAAACCATGCGTAACATTTAGTTTACAATTGGTACCATTAATGTTGAGTCTTAAATGGATACCCTAGATTATAATTTTGCATGAACATGTATCATGCCTTAAGCCTTAACAAAATAAAATAAAAATGTCATAATTTTTTCATCGGTCATTACTTCAGTTTCTAAAAATTTGCTTTCTGCTGGCCTGAATGATTCTGATCAAGATATGTCTTTCTAAAGTATAAATAACTACATCTGTACTTCTTGACTTATTTCATTAAACTTCACACACATTGCCTTTGACATTTTTCTGTATGTTAATTCAATAATACGGTGTATGTAGTCACCTCATTGGACCCAGGTCAAGACAACCATCACTAAAAATAGAATTTTACAGAAAACACACTGTTATCACTCTGGTGCTGTGTTTGTATAAGTTTGGAAAATAATTCAACAATGCTACCATACATTTTTTTTAATTCTTCTTAATATTTGGAAAATTAATTGTTCTGAATTATGTTTGGAAACCATTATGCCCTGACTTTGAGAGTTCTCTTCTGTACTAAAGGTGAGTCCTCCGTTCTGTACGCTGGCTGACCCTGGCGAGAATTACTGGGAGACAGACTGTGGTAACTTCACAGCATCACTGCTCTATTTCTGCTCCTTCTACATCATCATCACCTACATTGTCCTCAACTTGCTTGTTGGTAAGTATAGACTCTTTTCTGTATTGATTTAAATGATAAAAGAAAATCATAAAGTCATCAACCTCCTGTTAATGCATACTGTATACTAGAAATTTTCACCAAGTCAAACTTTTGCCCTTCGCCACTGTAATCAGTTTTCGCCTAGTGTTAATTTCGCTCTTCAGAATCAATTAATATGTTAATAAGGCTGTTATACTTATTTTTACTTTAATGATTAATTTGCCCTCATTACAGAGGGCAAAAAAGATAAAAATTTCCTGGTGCAAAAGGTTTCCTGAAAAAAACCATTGACTGGAAATAACTGGTATAAGGAAAGGTCTTACTCTAACTCATGAATTAAACTTCACAAGAAATGAACACCACTCTGTTTGCATGTATCATCAACATTTGGACACATAATTATTTCGTGTCTGCCTACCTAGGTACTTTTTCATTGATGGTGTAATTTACTCATGCATGTTCAGTGTAGTGTTTAATATACATCAGAACTATATAATATTTCATTAAGAATCATTACAAAGTGATATGTAAATGATGATGTCATAGTTGGTATATAATTATGCATTTATTTTTAATTGTTCTGAGCATATATATATATATAGCAGAGGATTTTCCAGTCCTATAGTCAGAATAAGATCTGTGTCAAAGTTAATAAGTTTTGGGTTGTCTCCCTTCCTAGCTATCATCATGGAGAACTTTTCCCTGTTCTACTCCAATGAGGAGGACGCCCTACTCAGCTACAGTGACATACGAAACTTCCAGAACACCTGGAATCTGGTGGATATCAGTAGGAAGGTCAGTCTAGGGTCAAATCACGTGTCTACATTGTAATTCTGTCTGAAGTCTTTTATCTGTTTTGATACATATTTCAACACCATCAATACTAAACAAACATTACCAAAAGAAAGTAGACTAGTAACACCACACACAACAAGTCTATCAGGAAAGAAAAGGGTAATAGAGCCGGACCCAGATTTAAACCTGGGATCCCCAAATTCTAGAAGGATGCTCAGAGTTGAGTAAATATCTGGTCACAGGACACAATACAATAAATATATTTTACTTTCACACAGACAATTGATTAAAGTTTAGTGTATTTTGAAATTATCTTAAATGTACAAGTTTCCTTGAATGACAGTTGGATATTGAATCTTTTGAGTGTATGATACAAATATAGTTACAAGTGACATTTATGTACTAGGTATATCCTAGCTTGTTGATCAGTGATGACATATTGACATTTTCTAGGGTGTAATCTCTGTGAGAAAGGTGAGACTGTTACTACGGTTACTGACAGGTCGTTTAGAGGTCGACTTGGAAAAGGACCGCCTCCTCTTCAAACACATGTGTTATGAGCTGGAACGACAACATGGAGGCGCCGAGGTCACATTTCACGATGTGTTAAAGTAAGAATTTTACCTAAAGTCTGGTAGCTGTAAGCATACATAGAATATCCCAGTCGATCAGTGAATTCCTAATAACTATACTGTGGATTAATGTTATCTGTTGTTATAGCAAGATACAGTAAAACCTTGCCGCTTCATATACTGCCAACATATTTCAGTTTCCCTTTTTTCATGTTTTCTTAAGAATTCCTTATACATTTCCCTCAGGTTATTGCCAAACCTCTTTTTAATGCGAAAACTTCTACGGACAAATGGGGCAGTATAACGAGGTTTTACTGTTCCATAGCTGTCAACCCTCCCTCATTTTGACGAAAATTTATCGATCTCCCTCCATACCCCCTCATTCATGTCCAAACTAACACAAACACAAAAGTTACATTCTTTGGTCAAATGATTTCCTAGCTACTGCAGAGTGGGTTTAATGGTCATAGTGACTGAATGTAATGAATGCTGTTTGGAGTTAATTTGATATATAAAAGTGGAACAATGAATTGAGCAAAGCAGTTTCAGGCACATCTCCCTCTCTGGAAATGATGAATGAGGGAGATCTTCCCATTGGAGGTTTCAGAGGTTGACACCTATACTATACATATAATAATACAGAGAAATATGAAGACTGTTTACATAGGGATGGGGAGTTTGTGGGGTTATGTTCTATAGTTCATCCAACAGAGATCTGGCAATACTTTGACTTGTTAATAAAAAAATTACAGCATGCTGGCGTACCGGTCAGTGGACATAAGTAAGAGCCTGCAGCTGGAGGAATTGCTCGCACGACAGGAGCTGGAGTGTACTATAGAGGAGGAGGTGGCCAAACAGACCATCAGGAACTGGCTGGACAAGTGTCTTAAGAGGATAAGGGCGGTAGGTGTTCATAATGATATACAACATAAAAATAAAGTGTGTTGTAAGGATAAGGGCGGTAGGTGTTCATAATGATATACAACATAAATATAAAGTGTGTTGTAAGGATAAGGGCGGTAGGTGTTCATAATGATATACAACATAAATATAAAGTGTGTTGTAAGGATAAGGGCGGTAGGTGTTCATAATGATATACAACATAAATATAAAGTGTGTTGTAAGGATAAGGGCGGTAGGTGTTCATAATGATATACAACATAAAAATAAAGTGTGTTGTAAGGATAAGGGCGGTAGGTGTTCATAATGATATACAACATAAATATAAAGTGTGTTGTAAGGATAAGGGCGGTAGGTGTTCATAATGATATACAACATAAATATAAAGTGTGTTGTAAGGATAAGGGCGGTAGGTGTTCATAATGATATACAACATAAATATAAAGTGTGTTGTAAGGATAAGGGCGGTAGGTGTTCATAATGATATACAACATAAATATAAAGTGTGTTGTAAGGATAAGGGCGGTAGGTGTTCATAATGATATACAACATAAATATAAAGTGTGTTGTAAGGATAAGGGCGGTAGGTGTTCATAATGATATACAACATAAATATAAAGTGTGTTGTAAGGATAAGGGCGGTAGGTGTTCATAATGATATACAACATAAATATAAAGTGTGTTGTAAGGATAAGGGCGGTAGGTGTTCATAATGATATACAACATAAATATAAAGTGTGTTGTAAGGATAAGGGCGGTAGGTGTTCATAATGATATACAACATAAATATAAAGTGTGTTGTAAGGATAAGGGCGGTAGGTGTTCATAATGATATACAACATAAATATAAAGTGTGTTGTAAGGATAAGGGCGGTAGGTGTTCATAATGATATACAACATAAATATAAAGTGTGTTGTAAGGATAAGGGCGGTAGGTGTTCATAATGATATACAACATAAATATAAAGTGTGTTGTAAGGATAAGGGCGGTAGGTGTTCATAATGATATACAACATAAAAATAAAGTGTGTTGTAAGGATAAGGGCGGTAGGTGTTCATAATGATATATAACATAAATATGAAATGTGTTGTAAGGATAAGGGCGGTAGGTGTTCATAATGATATACAACATAAACATAAGTGTGTTGTAAGGATAAGGGCGGTAGGTGTTCATAATGATATACAACATAAATATAAGTGGGTTGTAAGGATAAGGGCGGTAGGAGTACATAATGATATACAACATAAATAAAAGTGTGTTGTAAGGATAAGGGCAGTAGGTGTTAATAATGATATACAACATAAATATAAGTGGGTTGTAAGGATAAGGGCGGTAGGAGTTCATAATGATATACAACATAAACATAAGGGTGTTGTAAGGATAAGGGCGGTATGTGTTCATAATGATATACAACATAAACATAAGTGTGTTGTAAGGATAAGGGTGGTAGGCGTTCATAATGATATACAACATAATTATAAGTGTGTTGTAAGGATAAGGGTGGTAGGCGTTCATAATGATATACAACATAAACATAAGTGTGTTATAAGGATAAGGGCGGTAGGTGTTCATACTGATATACAACATAAATATAAAGTGGGTTGTAAGGATAAGGGCGGTAGGGGTTCATAATGATATACAACATAAACATAAGTGTGTTATAAGGATAAGGGCGGTAGGTGTTCATAATGATATATAACATAAAAATAAAGTGTGTTGTAAGGATAAGGGCAGTAGGTGTTAATAATGATATACAACATAAATATAAGTGGGTTGTAAGGATAAGGGCGGTAGGGGTTCATAATGATATACAACATAAACATAAGAGTGTTGTAAGGATAAGGGCGGTATGTGTTCATAATGATATACAACATAAATAAAAGTGTGTTGTAAGGATAAGGGCAGTAGGTGTACATAATGATATACAACATGAATATAAAGTATGTTGTAAGGATAAGGTCGGTAGGTGTACATAATGATATACACGTAAATACAAAGTATGTTGTAAGAATAAGGGCGGTAGGGGTACATAATGATATACAACATAAATATAAGTGTGTTGTAAGGATAAGGGCAGTAGGTGTTAATAATGATATACAACATAAATATAAAGTGTGTTGTAAGGATAAGGACGGTATGTGTTCATAATGATATTTCAACATAAAGTATCCTGTAAAATCTAAAAGAAATTACTCTTACCTGCTTTACAGCCAGAAAATTATGGGTTAATTATTTTGCAAGCAAATGTAGATATACACCTATGTTATAGCAGTAGTACTTACAGATCTTACCGACCAGTATCGGCATATCCAACCAACCCCACCGAGTCGTTCAAACTGTAGACAAGTAACAAAAGCATTATAACATGACAGATTGACAAACAGTTAAGACAGGATACTGAGGTGTTACTAGTAAAACAGTAGTCGGGTAGTCGCGTGGCACAGTGGATAGTGCACTGGCCTTTCACCAAGGCAACAGAACTGAAAAGGTATCGGTCACCGCCCGACCATGCAAGTTTTCTCTCAGTCTGGTAACTCCAATTTTCTCCCTCATTAAGACCCTAAGATGCTAACATCCTGGCAAATTAGAGTGATTGATAAAATTTAAAATAACTTGTTTTATAGTTGTTGTAAAACAAATAAAGTTTATATTGTGAATAGTCAATACTGTACTGTGGATTATTATTTTTCAAAAGTCCTGTTGTTTACTTACTCCTAGTGTAATGGTAATATGTGGTCAGTGATATATAAAATTGCACATTTATTTAGATATAAATGAATTAAGCATAGTTCATAATTGTTGAACTTGCAGAGAGAGCATTCCAATATTCTGACCAACCTGCGGGCCACCAATGAGCCGTTGTTTACCGTCACAGAACAGCCGTCCAGTGCCGCGGAGAGTAGTGAGGAGAGTAAGGATGAGGGTCCAACACTACCCCGGACCAGGAAAAAAGGGACTGTGGAGCTCCAGCCTCCCAACATCCTAGTACAGCCTCCACCCCTCTCCCCCCAGGGCTCCTTTGTCAGGAAGTACTTAAACCCCACCCTAGGGGATGGTCTCAACCGGGGGGACAAGGATAGACCTGGGCTCAAAAAACGCAGCATTAGAAACTCCTCAGGTATGCATGTTAAAAATTCTCTTACCTTGAAAATATTGATGTTCTGTTGAAAAACTAGTTAGAATTGCCATCAATGCAAACGTAAGAACAAATTGTAGAACACTATATTATTTCCTTCTCATTCAATATGTAAAGCATGTTTGTAGATGGGAAAGGTATTTATTTTTATGTCATATTATTTCCTTTGATTCTAAAAGACTTAACATGGCAAGTTTGATAAGTTCATTTGATATACTGAAGGATTTTGAGGAACATCAGTAAGGTTATTCCTCATTTGTAGATGACTTGGTTTGTGATAACCACAAATAACTAGAGTAGAATTAGATGACTGTTGAGGCCAATGCACTTCTAGTCTCCTTCACCAATTCTGATAAACATGTATGTTGTTTTCAATTGGAATAAATTTTGTCCGAATTGCCAGCAGATAATAAAATTATGATATGCAGTAACATTTTTATAATCATTTTTTAGGGGCCAAGACCCTTGGGGTTAGTCTGGGCCAGGTGACTGAGACTGCCCCAGAAGATGTGTCACCCACACATGAGAAAGTGCTGCAAACTGTCCTGATTGGAGCTAATGTGTCCAACAATGTTCAGTCATGGTGGAAGGATCAGCTAGGGGGATTTCCTGTACTTGATATTGACTAACTGGAGGATTTCCTGGATCCTTCAGTAGGGAGATAGGTTTTGGAAGGCAAATGGTCTCCTCCTTGAATATAGTTGGGGGTACCCTTTCTTAAAATCTTTAAATAGAGTTGGGGGTACCCTTTCTTAAAATCTTTAAATAGAGTTGGGGGTACCCTTTCTTAAAATCTTTAAATAGAGTTGGGGGTACCCTCTCTCAAAATCTTTATAAAGTTGGGGATTTTAGAGGGTGATTTCAGCAGTTCTCAGGTAAGGAGGACTGTCTATATGTGATCAGAGATAACAAAAATAAATCTGGGGAGACTCTTTCTTAAGATAGAACTAAAGGGTGATTTCCTACCTAATTATAGAGAGAATGGGATAGACCAGGAATGACACATGTATCCTTCATAAAAAAGGGATTCCTGGGTTTTTTTAACATAAAAAAACATGTTAATGGGTTAGAAAAAAATATTTTTGCAGTAATTATTGCCCGTTCAATATGTTTAAAGAACAAATTGTGCATTCTATGATATTATTTGCATTGAAACCAAAAAATGAAGGTTTATTTGTTAATAGAATATATAGAAGTTGAATGATCACTCAATTTTAATGAAACCTTGGTTTTATAATTTGTATGTGAACAATTTGTTGTGCATGATTTTTGATGGACCAGTTTCACAGGCACTAGACTTCATGTTATGTTATTTCATGCAAAGAATTTTTTAATTTCAAAATCTGGTAATATATATCTTTCATTCATTATTGAATTTTGGTCCTATGGAATCTATATTAGTGTATTGGTAATATATTATGTCCCGGAGATGTTTATCAATTAAAACAAGATATGTGTGACTTTATGTGTGCAAGTTAAGTCCACTATCATGAACACACTTCAGTAAAAAAGATATATAATAAATGATGATGTCATCATTTTTTTAATTGTATAGGACACTAACAGATGAGAATGAGAGGTACAGTGGAGTTACCTCCCTTCCAAAGTGTCAATTTTGTTCATACAAATTATTCTGTTTTACCTTGAAGTGCAATATATAATTGTTTACTATGTGTGCAATACCAGCTAGGGGTGAGGAACATGTTTATGGTTGTACATCGTGGGTGTAAATGTCCAGTAAAAAGAAATATTAATTTAAGATTGGTATCAAAGTAATGATTGGTACTTGTCGAGAGAAAACAAAACTAAATTTAAATAGTCATACATTGATCTATAATCATTCATTAGTTGTTTCACCAGAATAAAGTCAAAACCTTCCAGCTTTTTTTTAATACATTTTCTTGGTGGACCTCAGTTAAGTGTTTATGATGTTTTAGCTATAACTTTTGTAGAAGTGTTTGATTTTAATTCCTTTTTATAGTTTTATCTCTTAAGATAGATTTGTAACATTTACTTTTTTATAGTTTTGTTGGGGGGGGGTTCTAGAAAAAGAGTATTCTTTATCAAGCAACATACTTACTGTACTATCAGTCATTGAGAAGTGGACACAGCCCAGTGGATGTTTTTTATTTGGTTTTTTTTTTATGTTTTGTTAATTGTACACCAAGACTGGTCCACAGAAGTAAGATCTTTGATAAACCGTTCATCTAAAATCAGACAATGATTTAAATTTTCTAAATTAATTTGGAAAACAGTGGAATACCATTTCAGATATTGCTATGGCTTCCCGAGTATTTTGGTTCTATACAAACCTATTACTGGTACCTATTTATTGAGATTTGGCTGAGAAGTCTACAAGGAATCTGTGATGATACTTTAGACATGTACATCAGCCAAAACTTGTTGTTATATCAAGTATGTGTTCTTATATACATATATGTGATGATATATATACTTAATAAATGTATGTTGATTGTTACAAATGACTTAAGTTTTTATTGTGATATCAGAAGTTTTTTCGTTAATTTTCTATTTGAATTTGACATTTCTTGATACCTGATGTTGAAACGAGCATTTGTCCTTGACAATTAGCCGAGCCGGTTTATTTGCAATTACTTTACATTAAACTGAGTCAGATGTATTGTATGTAAGCAAAATTCAGATTTGCCATACGTAAAATCATGTTTGGTGTATTTCAGTTTGTACTATTAATGTATTGGGTCAAAGATCAAAGTATTGTTATGCTTTCACGAGACCTGTGTTGAGTATTTTGTCCTAACCATATCCTGTCATCAACAGCTTTTTCAAGTTTTTCTCTTGAAATGTTGTAAAAGTATTATTGCAGGACAGAGTGGTGGTGGGGTGAAGTGTTTAAAATCCTTTTACAACTTCTGAATAAGTATAAAACTCTTCCATCTGTACAATTTTGAATCCCGACCACCTGAGAATGGTTTCAGTAAAATTCCAGTCAGTGATTTAGACGAAGTCGTTTTAAGAAGGTGTTGACGAACGCCACAGTATGGTATTAAGTTCACATTGGTCCTCTGGACCAGGTGAACTAAAAATGTCCAAACAACTTCTTTTCAATAACCAATAGGCCTAGGTTGATGGTAATTGGCAAACTGGGATAAAGGCTACAAAGTTTATTAAAATGAATGACCACGACTACCCTTTCAAGGTTACAGGGGTCAAATATGATAAAATCTGAAAAAAACTTCTTTTTAATACCCTAAAGACCCAGGGTGATATCTGGTCAGTAGCATGCTGGGATAAATTTCCACTAAGCTTTTCAAGTGTATGACCATATCTGACTTTCAAGGCCACAGAGGTCAAAGTAGTATACTGGGATGAAGTACTACATGTACTCTGATTGTTCAAATGAATTACTTTGACCCACTTTCAAGGTCGCAGAAGTCAAATTTTATAAAAATCTCAAAACATCTTCTCAATAACCAAAACATCCAGGATCATGATACTTGGCTAGTAGCATGCTGGGATGAAGGGCTACAAAGTTTGTTCAAATAAATGACCTTAACTGACTTTCAATGTCACAGGGATCAAAAATTTGAAAAAATGTTTCTTCTTGATAACCAAAAAGGCCAGGTTGGTGATATTTGGCCTGTTGCTGAATTTAGCCCATTTTATAATTAATATGTTTGCCCTTACTCCACTTTGAAGGTTACTAGTGTGAGATTAATAACTGGTGAGTAAACCAGGCACTTTGGGCTTCTTGTGTATTTTATCAAGGATCAGTAGTTACTACTATGCTGACCATAATGTTAACTCTAGGGTTTGAAATTTTGGATGAGCACAATGAGAGTTCTGACTTCATGCTTGTCTTAACAGAACAAGATTATGTGTAAGTCCATATCAGTTGTAGGTGTGATAAAAAGGATAAGGCAATGACACTTGAAACATTGTACATGTATAAACATTTTATTACAAGACAGTTCAAAATCAACAATGATTAAATTATATATTTTCTACAATTAACACACGGAGGTATCCATTTCTGATCATTACACAATATGAAAATTAAAATTATGTTGTTACAATAAAATTAATGTAGCAACCAATACCCAGCATTAACAATATATGAATTTATAAATATTCAAATTCATTCAATAAAATTATTCAAAATCAACAATTTTAAAAAGACAAAAAAATGAGACACTAACCACTGAAATACTGCAAATATTGATCACAGGGTACAAAAAGACTAAAATATGTGTAAATGCACACTCTATTAAAACAATGTAAATAAAGAATTTATTTAAAACAATGCATGATTTATAAATATCATGTAAATGCTGAAAATATGGAAAAAACGTGCCCACAGGTCTTAACTGTGGACAGGATTTAATCCCCTGCGGCTTGAAATATTTTCAGCTTATCGTACTCCATCAATCTGTACGTCAATGATTGCTTTTCAGTCAAAAACTACCTGTAAAATTTGACTTGATGTAACTTAGAACCCATATTGCATCATTAGTAACACTAAGAACCAATATAGCATAATGGCGCTGCTAGACCATTTTGAAAGTGGCTGGAATCTAAATAATGTATATTTGATGTAATTCAGGTTATATTAAGTAATCCTTAATTCTGGTTACACTTCAGGAAACAACTTCCCTTAATATTGATGAATTTCAATCGAAATGTAAGAGGGCTTGCATAATGATAATAATCAAAGTACTGAGATAATTGTATTTGGTGCATATTTGACTAGTTCATCTACATTTAATTGATTCTGAATAGCTGACACACTTCCCTAAACATTTATTGATATCTGCCAAATAAGTAATGAGGTCAAAAAATTGTACAGATTTTTTTTTTATTATTAAAACAGAAACATGGTGTTAACCTTATAGATAGATGTAAAACATTTAAAAAATATTTATGCTCAGGTTTTACATCATATTAAATAATTGTAACTTCCTGACATATATTTAGCATTTCAATTCTTATTTCATTAATCTTAAAACTTTTCCCAGAAATCAAACTTTGTGGATTAAGATGCTTTACTGACTGCCTCAGTTTACCGTTGCCAGATCATAGGATACAGAATTAATGCTTATTTTCTATGAAAACCATTTCTCAATCAGTTAAATGCTATATGTTATTCATGATAACACCTTTTCCAAAAATAAAAGTGTATACAAATTAATGTGCTTTCTCTGTTGATGATAACCCTATAAATCACAAGACTGAAGCTCCTAGTGTAACAAAGCTGACGTGGTCTTATCTCTGCTAATATTAGGTATCCTCGAAATGCAAGGGATCTGCACTCAACTCACATACCTCCTTCTCTACACTGCAAAATGTTATGTATGTACGACAAAATCGAGGCTATCAGTATAAATTTTTATGTTTTTTTCAGGTATAAAAAACCTGACCCAATCGCTAGGCTGATACCTGTCCTTTGAGGTTTATGGGCGCTACACCCGAATTCAAAGCCTGCCAATCTACTCTTTATGCTGCCACAATATTTCTTTGATCTTCATCGAAGACATTAGTATAGTCTACTTGTATCATCTGCAAACTGTTGCTCAACTCTTTAACCCCTGAAGACACATTTTGAACTCTTCCAATCAAAGGTTGGAATAGTTCATTATGAAATTTCATGGGTGAATGAATTAATGAGCCTTCAATTCGTATTTCAGGGTTGCAGAAAAGATAACCTTAGTGTACTGGAAGTGGAACCTATGGATTTTGAGGATACTTATTGCGATGTCTGCGTATATCTTATAATAAATTAACGTAGATATTTGCATGCTGGAAGGACACATAACATCTCGAAGAGGAGGTTAGCTCCAGTTAAAGCTGTGGTACCAAAGGGATCATACGGTGGCGACACCTATTGACAGGAAAGAACATTTTATTAATAATTAGTGTGGTTCTAGTAAATCGGTTTAATTGATGATTAGTCGTTTTACCTCTGACTATGACTAATCAATCATGGTTTGACTTTAATATGAAAACTTTCAAGAGTTACCGAGATACAATTTTACTCATGAGTTATATCATAAACTGCATTCAAACACATTTTCTGTCTATAGTAACGTATTTACAAAGTATCCACCATATTTTACCGAACTTTGTGATTGTTTCTCTTTTTATTTCACTTTCATTATACGATTGATCATGATCAAATATATCATTACCCTTTTCAACCTGTCAAAAATTAATTTTCATAGGAATTGCTTCCCCTTGTCCTGATTTCAAACCATGAAAATAGAAAACTGAAATTGCTCCCCTTTGCCAATAACCCATTAATCTTGCACCATTAAAACCAAAGTTATTTATGACTGCTTATTAATTACTAGCAGATTTCGCTATTAGATTAAGTGTAAATATTGACCAAGACACATTAAAATCTTGTCATATTTGACTAAGTTACAATCGTGAATCCCACGACCACCTGCAGCAGCTTGGTGAAAACCAAAGGTGCAGTTGTGAGTCCGAACGGCATGGCCAGGAACTGGAAGACCTTTCCGTTGCAAGTAAAACGGAGGTACTTCTGTGCCGACTGCTTGATGGGGATGTGGAAGTAGGCGTCCTTCAGATCTACTGAAGTCGCCCACATTCCCTCTCTCACGGAGGCGATAATACCCCGAGGAGTCTCCATCTTGAAGTGAGGAGAATCTATGTTCTTGTTGAAGGCACTTAGATCTATGATGGGACGCCACGCCCCGGACTTCTTCCGAACCAGAAACATTCTGGAGTAGAACCCGGGAGTGCATCCCGACATAGGAACCTCCTCGACCGCGCCCTTGGTAAGCATGGTCCTTACTTCCTCCTGGAGCGCCAGAGCCTTTTCCGGATCCCCCGGTGGAGGAAAAAAGATTGGCTCCGACGCTAAGGGCGGATCCCGCACTAGCGGAATGCCTAACCCCTCCTTGATCACAGACAAGGCCCATGCGTCTTCCGTAATTTCCTTCCACTCTGGAAGGAAAGCAGAAAGACGACCCCCCACAGGAAGATCTGGTCGAGGCAGATCGAGACCTTGCCAGGCAAGAGAATCGTCTGCTGACCCGAAGCCTAATCCTGCGGGAGAAGGACCTAAGCTTGAGCCGAGAGGACTGCATTCCTCCCGGCCAAACTCGTCGTCTGACACGACCAAGGAGGGAAGAAAAGAGTCAGGAACCCTTCTTCTTACCCCCAGGAGGGTTCTTACCCTTCTTACCCTTCCATTTGTTGCCCTTGAAGGGAGGCTTATACTTGGGCTGCGCAGAGGACTGCGAAGCCGAAGGTTTAGCCTTCTTCTTAGGAGGCGCTGACCCCTGCGAGGTACTGGCCTTCTCAGCCTGAATCCTCTTCACCAGAAGTGCAGAGGCGACCGAGTCCTCCTTCAAATCCTTCTGAACAGAAGGAAGGGCCCCTCCAAAAAGAGTGGACCCTGAGAAGGGGGCAGTCAACAGTCTGGAACGGTAAGGCTCATCGACCGGGCGATTTTTCAAAACTGAAAACCGCCTAGCCAACAAGACATTGACGAGGGATGACACCTGTAAAGCTGCCAGCGCTCTCAATGCCCCGTTCAGGGCAGAGGTCACTCTGTCCTGGATGTCGGCCTGCTCTGTCTCGGTAATCCGACCCTCAGGCAAGTCGGATACCCTATATAGACAAACCGTCAAGTAGTCTATATACGACAGAATCTGGATGGAGAGACGCAGCAGTCTCTCCATCTTGTGGTGTTCTTTGGGACCGAACACCACCTGGTCCACCGATTTACCGGGCCAAGCTGCAAGTTCCCTCGATTCCAGCTTAGCTGGTTGAGGGGCAAGCAGACCATCATGTGTGGCATAGTCAGTGGCGTGCACCTCTGACAAATCGCCAACACTGAGCTGCAACCCAGCATACCCAGGACTACGGGTTGAAGAAGAATTCTTCCCTAAAACCCGAGACTGGGCGGTGGCCAGAGCTGAAGACACAATGGTGCCTTCTGGCAGAGAGCGGTCCGACCGAGCGGACACCCGAGGAGCCACCAAAGAACCCAAAAGGGTGGTGGACTCGGGGACAGATGATGCCGAAGGTGGTGGGCAAACCTCCTCCCCAAGAATCCGGGAAACGTCAGCCCTAAGGCCCCGCATACCGGATAACACATGCTGGGCCTCAACCTCAGCAGCCTCAGGGTCTCCCTCATCCTGGAAGTCCTCCTCTGAGGGCAAGCCCTCCTGAGGACTGTCGTCAGACGACTCGGAAAGACCAGCGTCTATATCCGAACAACCAGGTGAAAGATGAACAACATCATTGTCCTCTGCCATACCCGCGCCCTCAACGTCCATAGCCTCCACACCATCCAGACCAGAAGCCTGGGGCGGAGGAAATGGGCCAGCCAGAGGGGCCAACCCGAGAGAAGGCTCCCCGTACCGGCGTTTAGGTGCAGTGCGCCTAACGGCCGTGGCTGTAGGTTTAGGCTTAGTAGCCAAAACCCTACCCTTGGACCCAGAGACCAACGAGCCTGCCCGAGAGGCAGAAGTCCTAAAGGTCCGACACACCTTCTTAGGACCGGCCGATAAGGCCCCCGAAGTAGCAGAAAGTTGGGGGGGGTCAACAGAACTGCTAACACGTCTCCGCGAGGGAGAGACCAAACCCCAAGGATTCCATGACGGAAATGCCATGGGGTTAAACCCATATCCCGGAGGATAGGGGAAAGGTCCCGCGGGCTGGGAGTGACCCCAGAACTGGCCAAACTGGCCTGCCTGAGACTGGGGCTGGCCAACTTGCCCAAAGGGCGAAGGTGGACCGCCACTCCCTCCAGGTGGAAACCCGGACATGTACGGGCTAAGCCCGTAACTGCCGGGATGCTGTCGCAACCCAAAACCATCCGCAGGCTGGTAAGGGCGGCCCAAGGATGGTTGCCCGCAGGCACCCGTATACCCTAAGCCAGGGGAAAACGGAGGCCGGAAACCGGCCCCCTGTCCAGCAAACCCAACCCCTGGGGGGAAACCCCCCAGGTTCCCAGAAGAATGAAACTCGGGACCGGACCTAATAGGACCGGGTCCGGGTAACTGACCGGGAGGGTATGCCTGACCAGCATTGATGCCGGGATTAGTGAGCTGCGCGTCACTAATCCCGGTAGACACAGACAATCCCGAAAGAAAGTCTGTTGTCACACCAGGACCTGAACCCGAAAGAACAGGCCCGGCACCAAGACTGTCCCCAACGACCGCACCACCTGGAATGCCGGGATCACTGACAGAGTCAGTGACCGGCGGCCGGTAGTCCCTACCCGAAGGCAAGCGCGAAAGCTTACGGGCGTTCCCGGCCAATTCGACCCTTGGCTGTGCCAAGCCAGGGTCAGGCTGCCCCTCCCCTACTCCAGGGAGTTCCTGGACAGGAAGGGCCACCCCCTGCTCACGAGAGGGACTTGCCGAAGCAAGACCCCCCGAGACAGGAACAGAGACAGTACCACCAGACCCCAGAGAGCTGGTGGCACGACCCCTACCTCTCTGCTTCCCTCGCTTACCGGAAGAAACAGACGAATCTGTCTTACGGTAAGTTGAGGGTAGCTTTGGAACAATGAAGTCCTTGCCCTGAGATTTTGACTGTGAACAAAGTTCACAAGGCGAAACCTCACTGCAAGGACGACACCTGGGACAGGCATCATGAGGGTCCCGTTCCACAAAGAAATGGGAACACCCATGAGCACTACCTCGTCGCTGTCCCGACCGAGACATACCCTCCAAAGCGAACGTAAACAAAAAATTTACAAGCAGATAAAACGGGAAAATAAGGATAAAATACGATAGTACAAAGTACGCAACGTAGAAAGAATTTCACCCGTAATATAAATCAGAAAACGGTTAAAATAAATAACGTTTGCCGAAACAAACAACCGTCACCGAAATAAACAGAGGTCGGAAATTAACCCACGATAATGGCGGACCGTGGCACACCACCGGCACACGTGGAGTAAAATAACCGGCCGTAAAAGGCACAAAAATAATTTTCAACAATAATTAATTATATTAACAAGGGCAGATGGGTATAAGGCACACAAACTGCGCAAAAAATTGAGTTGACACTCGAACCAAACCGACAAAACAAAGTTTTGAAATGGAGCAAGCTCCGGGCGTCAGCAGGCAGCAGGCGCCATAAAAGGAAGAGGAAGGGAGATCACTCGGTGGCTCTGTCGTCAAGATATGGGTTACGTCACGGTAGGGAGGTAGGGATATTTGAATCTTTTGTTTTTGGGCTACAAAGATGGGTGTAGGTATTGTATATGCATACCAAAGGTATGGTAATTATTGCTGAAATGAAATTTGTATATTGTACATGCTTAATCAAAACTGAATCGAAATTTAAGTTATTTATCCTGCAGAAACCAAATCATGGACAGACAGACACTCCCCCTACCATAATATGTCCCCGCAAACATTTTGAAGGACGTATAAAAAACAAACGACAACGTGGTTTGTTAAGCAATTCTAGAAACAAATACTTACCTCAACAAGGTCACCTCCAACTATGTTCATGCCCCGACATCCTCGTACAATCTCCAACCCCTGGGCAGGTGTCAGGCCCGCTATTTCTGGTGTACCTATTATTGATAATGTGTGACAGGAAGACAAGAAATGTCCAGAGAGGGCTATTTTTACTGAATTCTAAAAATCACACACAATATTACCAGACTGTCAAATGACTACTTTTTTGTAACATCATCCCCATAAATAATTTGATCTGCATATGTTCCAGTACATTTATCAAACATGAGAAAATGTAAATAATAGATGTTTCAAGTATTTGCTTTAATCATATGAATACCGTGTTATGCAATGTCATAAAGCCATCACATAAATTATGTTTATGTAACGTGTGTAATATCACTCCGGAAATGACGACGCAATCAAATTGGAACAATGAATGTGACGTCATGTCATTGGTGACGTCATTGTGAAGAGGACGCCATTTTCATCATTACAGAGGCAGCCAAGCACTAAATATTTGTTTCAGATCACAATTATACAGTTTTCTTTGTATTATATGACAAAAAGAATCTGTCATTCGTTTCCCTTCATATTAGATTTATGATACTCGTTTTGGATTTTTCCTATTCCCTTGCCAGAGGCTGGCAAGCATGAAAAATCCAAAACAAAAATCTAATATGAAGGGAAACTTATGACAGATCCTCTATTTAAGATTTCTATTATTTTTATTACCTGTTCCTGGAGCATAGGCAGGGTCAAGGGCGTCAATATCAAAGGTAATGTAGACAGGGTGGTCACCCATCATCTCTCTGACCTCTGACATAAGTGGGGTCAAGGACTTATGCCAACACTCATGGCCCAGGACTACTCTGAAGCCCTGAAAACGTGACAAGAATAACATCTATAACTTACATTTGCATAACAAATATTTGTTTGATATCTAGGTATAAACAGTGGTTTTAGTATATGCAGTGATGAGTTAAATAAATCCCGACTCATTTCAGCCTATTAGGGGTCATTCTTTTACAGTATAGTCTTATTATTCAGCTAGTCACCACAAGCTGGTCAGTAAGTTATCTCACTACATTGTATATAGCCAGTGTCTTTTTGGAACAGATTTCCCTCTTTCTAAGATTTTATAAACTGCTCCAGTAATCCAGTAAGCTATAAACCAGGTTGGCAGGATTTAACAAGGCTCCTCAGCGGTGTGTTTTTTAGCTCACCTGGCCTGAAGGGCCATGTGAGCTTATGCCGTATACGTTCTGCAGTGTCTGTCAACTTTTTCTTTTAAACGACTTCTTCTGAAGAACTGGAGGACCTAGGGTCATGATATTTGTCCAGTTAGGTACCTGGGTTTGAGTGCTTTAAAGTTTCCTCATTAAATTGACCTTGACCTACTTTCAAGGTCACAAGGGTCAAATATGTTAAAAACTTCAAACAACAATATCCTGAGAAGCATTTGGACTAGAGTTATGATACTTAGGTATGTTATGTAGACCAGCAGTGCAAATCTTTTTCTTAATTACAACTTTAAGTGCTAGTTGGGGGTCAACATGGGTTAAAAGCTTTAACAACCTTCTCCTCAAATTCCCTGAGAACCAAGGTCATGATATTTGGCCAGTAGGTACCAGGGATAGAGTGCTATAAAGTTGCCTCTTTAAAATGACCTTGACCTACTTTCAAGGTCACAGGAGCCAAAAATGTTAAAAACTTCAAACTACGATATCTTAAGAAGCATTTGGTCTAAAGTCATGATACTTGGGTATGTTATGAAGACAAGCATAGCAAATCTTTTACTTAAGTACAGTAATGAGGTCAAATGTCAACTTTTAGTGCTAGCCGGAGTCAAAGGTCAACGTGGGTTAAGCGTTTAAGAAAGGTTAAAATGTCTTGTGTTCTAGTCACCAAATTTAGTCTGAAGTTACCTATATGTCAGTTTCATGTAACAAAAGAAACAGGTGAGCGATACAGGTCCTCTGGGCCTCTTGTTTAAAGGTTCAGCCATCAACCATGTATGTAATCATTTAAACAGTACAAGAGAGAGATATATATACCTCTTTTAATTTATCAGAGTAGTACCTGTTCTTGTCCCCAGTCATAATCTGTGATGTTGTAATTAGAGCCACGAAGCCCGATCTGTATCACACGATGTCCGTCCAAACATCCCTCCTCCATAGCACGACGGAAAGGTGTCCCATGAGCAATTTTCTCGCCCAGCATTGTGTCGTTGGTGTCTGCATGGGCATCTACGTGGACCAAACCTACTGGGCCATGCTTGTCCTTTACACAACAATATTCACCAAAGTTTAGAAAACAACAAAAAGATCGCACAATGAAAGAGATAATTACAAAATAATTCAACAACATGGTGTAATTAGCTAAATACCTTATATTTTGTGCCTAGATATTGGTAATTTTTCAATGATTTAATACATGTTTCCAGTAACATTCCTCAAATTTACAACATAGATTTAATTATTGAAAATTGCAACATATTTTTTCTCTTTGCTTCTACTGTTACTATACGTATCGTATTACGTATTGTATTGTCAAGTTACTGTATCGTGGCAGCCCTATTGAAAACACCATTAATTACCCTGATGACCTGTAGATGTAGTAACTGTATCGTGGCAGCCCTATTGAATATACCATTAATTACCCTGATGACCTGTAGATGTAGTTACTGTATCGTGGCAGTCCTATTGAATACACCATTAATTACCCTGATGGCCTGTAGATGTACATAGTTACTGTATCGTGGCAGCCCTATTGTGAACACCATTAATTACTCTGATGGCCTGTAGATGTAGTTACGGTATCGTGGCAGCCCTATTGAAAACTCCATTAATTACCCTGATGACCCGTAGATGTAGTAACTGTATCGTGGCAGCCCTATTGTGAACACCATTAATTACTCTGATGGCCTGTAGATGTAGTAACTGTATCGTGGCAGCCCTATTGAATAAACCATTAATTACACTGATGACCTGTAGATGTAGTTACTGGATCGTGGCAGCCCTATTGAATACACCGTTAATTACCCTGATGTCCTGTAGATGTAGTAACTGTATCGTGGCAGCCCTATTGTGAGCACCATTAATTACACTGATGGCCTGTAGAGGTAGTTACTGTATCGTGGCAGTCCTATTGAATACACCATTAATTGCCCTGATGACCTGTAGATGTAGTTACTGGATCGTGGCAGCCCTATTGAATACCCCATTAATTCCCCTGATGACCTGTAGATGTAGATACTGTATCGTGGCAGCCCTATTGTAAACACCATTAATTACACTGATGACCTGTAGATGTAGTTGCTGTATCATGGCAGCCCTATTGAATACACCATTAATTACCCTAATGGCCTGTAGATGTAGTTACTGTATCGTGGCAGCCCTATTGAATATATCATTAATTACCCTGATGGCCTGTATATGTAGTTACTGGATCATGGCAGCCCTATTGAATACACCATTAATTACCCTGATGGCCTGTAGGATTGGGTAGGTCATGGTGTGGTCTCCCCCGAGGGCCAGGGGTATACACCCGGTCTGTACAATGCGGGAGAAATGGTTACGGATATCGTCACATGCCTTAGGTAGGTTGTACAGGTTCAAGTTTACATCACCCACATCAGCGACTTGGAATGAATCAAACGGGGAGGCACCTTAAAAAAGAAATTTACAGATTGATAACTTAACAGCCATTATTCAAAGTAGGATGTGCTGAGCTTATCACAATATTGGTATTCCATATTTCATTCCACTGTATTTTGTTTATTCTTTTTCCATATATTCTCCACTTTTGCATCTGTAGTTAGGTCATGAATTTTTTTCGATTTATTTTTCAAAATACAGATTAAATGCAAAATCAGTGTCCAAATATCCCAACCTGAGGTACATGGAACTTGCACAAAACAATATGCAAAACTGGTGAGCAGTTCCAGACTCCATGTCTTCCAACAGGGTACTTAAGTCAGTAGATATCCCTTTCTTGAAGATTGTAAAATTTCAGCCATTCGTCCACCAATGTTTTACTTTGATGAAGTTGGTTTGCTACTGACTTACTTTTACACCTGAAGTATGCATGCCCCCTTATAATTAATATATACCATGTGACTGCAGAATCATGAATCACTTTTGTTCCAGAAACTTAATGCATCTAAAAAAACGACGAATCAAAATATCGCTGATAATTAAGGTGTCGACAGACATTTCTATATCTATGAAGACTAATTGCATCTTGAGTGTAGCTTCTTTGATTAAGGATTATTCTCGTTCCAGAAGGAATTAGAACTTATAAGGGTTGTTAGGATTCTGATCATATCATCAAACCGGCATCCAAGTGTTTCATATCGTCAGGATCTTCATCAGATCATCACTAGCTGCCAGGTTTCAGATTAATCAGCCTGTTAGAAGTTTGAGTTTTAACAGTTTTAGGTTTTTATGATAAACGTTAAAACAACCTCTGATGCAGTCAACATGAAAAACATATATTTTACAAGATTTAATATTTAAGCAAAAATAGTATCACCTGTAGCAATGTTGAGCTTGCGTAACAGCGATGATTCTGCCCGGATTTGACGAGGACCATGTCTAGTTCCCGCCCTGTTTGATGTGCCAATGTCTAGGGGAACACCCACAAAGCAGGCATACAGACCTGTCAAATATAATGTAAAAAAAACATATTTCACACAATATATGAAACCTGGTAAATATAATGTAAAAAAACATATTTCACACAATATATCAGACCTGGTAAATATAATGTAAAAAAATAGATTTCACACAATATATGAAACCTGGTAAAAATAATGTAAAAAACATATTTCACACAATATATCAGACCTGGTAAATATAATGTAAAAAAAACCATATTTCACACAATATACCAGACCTGGTAAATATAATGTAAAAAAACATATTTCACACAATATATGAGACCTGGTAAAGATTATGTAAAAAAACATATTTCACACAACATATGAGACCTGGTAAATATAAAGGGTCAAATACAATTGTGTCTGTTAGATAAACGAAAAGGATGCAAGTGAAGTCTGTCTATTGCAAAATTAATGTCATTTTAGATACAATTTGGCATCAACTATAGATATGCTTCTCTTTTCTCTTTTAAAGGAAAAGTTGATAACTGAAGGAGTGTTGTGAGAAAGTGATCTGCACAAGTATTTACATACTCACGCCACCCTGTGTGTCGTATTCATATACCCGCACATCACCACTCTCATTCACTTCACACTATGCTGCCGAGCAGTACAAACCTATGTTTCTGTCCAATAGAAACATACATAGTCCAAAATACCTCCTTTTTAATTTTTATTTTTTTATGATCTAATTTGATTTAAAGGAGATCGTCATTTATTTCATACTAATCACCCGTAAATATTGCGGCAGAGAGAAAAAAAATATGCCTATATGCCTAATTATTGTAAATTTTTCCATCAGTTCCGATATGTACCTGCAGTTGACTAATAGAAATGTGACTGAGTTTCCTCTAGCCCCGACACCACAAATAGAAATGTGACTTAGTTTCCTCTAGCCCCAACACAACAAATAGAAATGTGACTGAGTTTCCTCTAGCCCCGACACCACAAATAGAAATGTGACTGAGTTTCCTCTAGCCCCGACACCACAAATAGAAATGTGACTGAGTTTCCTCTAGCCCCGACACCACAAATAGAAATGTGACTGAGTTTCCTCTAGCCCCGACACCACAAATAGAAATGTGACTGAGTTTCCTCTAGCCCCGACACCACAAATAGAAATGTGACTGAGTTTCCTCTAGCC